TTTTTTTTTTCCGCATCTATGCAATGTAAAAAACGTGTACTGCAAAGAGGAAACGTGTGTACTTTTTGTTTCGATCTCTAGACCTACAACATCTGTGAAGCTGAAATTTGAGCAACACTCTACCACTACGTGTAAATCTTCAGGCATAAAATGGACGTTCATTTCCTCTTAATTCACACACAGCAAGGTATCAAAGATTTGGTAGCGAGAAAGCGATTTTTTGGAACCTGAAATGCTAGAATGCTAGAAATTCACAAGCATCTTCCCCATCTGCGTGCGGCCCAAAAAATTTAAATGCATTCCTCATACACGTCTACTTCTCACGTACGGGCATTTCAAAGTTCAGACTGGCATAATGTTAACTCGACAGTCAATGACTACAATTTTACCACACTGCAGTCCAAATTTGGATCAGCGGACGTAAAAAAAGCTTCCACATCTTTCCACATCTCACGTACGGACATGTGGTACTTGACGCTGTCGTCTTCGTAACCCCGCAACCAAAACTCGAAGCATGTCCCACAACCGCGTTTGGGCAGATGCGCGATTTTTTACGTAAAGACACGTAAAAACTGATATTGATCATTTTGCAACTAGCAGCTACAGTGCATATGCCTTGCCTAAGAGTGAATTTGGGTAAATGTATATGAAAATGGTTTTCTTGTCTTATTATCTTACGCAGGATGCAATTTGGCTCAAAAAAATTTTTTCGCATGACGTCTTAACACCGTGGAAACAGAAACGATAATAACGAATTCAAATATGACGAATACTTCAGTTCATTTAGCTAGAAGTACCTGCCCAAGACAGTGGTACTTAGCGACTAACAACTGTGAGGAAAACCGTATGGAAAACGCACACTCACACCGATAAACTTGATGCGTTTCGCCATTAGTTTCCTTTTCGCCGCTCGTTTTCCTCCTTCACACCCGGACTTTTTAATACATTTATCACAGATTTTCACTGAGGAAGTTTATTAAAAACATATACACTTAGCGCTACGCATAATAAGAACAACAAATCAAGAAATTACCTGATTTTTTAATGCGGTACTCCAAGATCGACTGCCCGGTGGACCCCTTGGTTTACCACGTTTTGAGCGACCAGCTGAAACCGCTACAGATCCATCAGGCATCGCTGTTACTGTGCAGTACCGTGGATAACCTTTCGAAGATATGAAATTGCGCGATCGTTTGGCATTTTCGGTAACTTTTGCAGGCGGCAAACCAAGCAGCTCAATTATAAGTGCCAGCTGAAAAAGTGGAAGTAGGAAAGAGACACAGAGCGTCTCTCCAACCCGTACAAGGCCAATCAGATTTCGTGTAATGCGCGCACTCATCATAACGCATATAATGAATCCATAAGTAAACGTTTAGCGCAAACAGCAAAGATACAGTCAAGCACCTGATCACTTTCATCTTCGCCAGGCAGAAGTGGATATCCTGTGAGCAATTCGGCGAGAATACACCCAAGTGACCACATGTCAATCGGCATTCCGTACCTTCCGCCCATAATTACTGCAATCAGTTCATTGAGAAGTAGTTCACGAACGAGAGCAAAAAAACAACAGAAGGATGAATGCAACTAAAACATCAAAAAGTCGAACAACGATCCTCATTTTACGCCCTCTGGCAGACAGAAGCGCTTGGCACTAGCCCGAGTGCCTAGACAATGCCAACAGAAACCGACCGCTGGCAAGTCACTCGATCATTTCTTCAGCCGACGGCTTCTTGGCAGAAGCCTAATAGCGATTTTAACTTCTAAACATGTTTCCGTGCAATTTGCTATCAAATCAAAATCAACTAATAAGTGACGAAAAAAAAACTAGCTTTTCTACTCGTAGAATCGGACTGTCGATTTAAGTCTAAGGGCAGCGCTTGCTTGTAAACTGAATACAGCAAACACCTCTTTGCTTTCAACAGGACTCACCCTCTGGAGCTCGGTAAAACCTGGACTGAATATAAGTGTATATACGTTGATCGTCAAAACATGAAGAACCAAAGTCGATAACCTAAAAACAAAACGCATCAATTTAAAAAAAAAAAAAAACTTTTTGCCCTAATCTTAGTGTTCCTGGCCTCTACCTAGCCTTTGCTGCCCAATCCTCTAAGCTACCAAAATTATATATTTAAAAGCATCTTATTTTTGCATTTTTTACATCCCGGTAGGTCATGTATAAAATTATAGAAAACTAGAACGGAGCCGTCTATTCATGACCCCCAATCGTAAATTCCTGAAACGAACTCTTGAAGCAAAATAGCAAATTTTCCTGGTATGATTCACCATGATTTTTAAATGAGAATAGAAATTAGCTGGAAAATCCAAAGGGAAAAGCCAGAAAAGAAAATATATTTTTAAACTTCAATCGTGAAAAAATAACTTCTGAAAATTTGTACTTACTGACTTACATCTTACGAAATTAGTTTGCTACAGCAAATGAGTGAAGTAAGTCTAATAATTCCAGAGGCTTTTGGGCAAACTAGCATTAAAAAAAGATAGAACCAGGGCAAATAAAACCAGCCGGAAAGAGAAGCCTAGGGCAAATAAAATCAGTCGGAAAGAGAAGAATCTCTGGATCATTTTACATTATTTCTTTAGCAATAAATTTTCATTTTCACAACTCATAATCAAACAGAGCAACTCTATAGAACAACAGCCTTCAAGAAAGCGGAAAAATCTGCACCATGAATTAGCGCTATTCAATATTTTAAAGCTGACTTTAAAAACAGTGTTGGTCTATAAACCCAGTCTACCAAACAGTTAACTCCAAAGTTGTAAGAAGAAATTTATTTCCAGGACATTAAAAAAAAAA